TGATGACGATGATATTGATAAGCTACTGTTTGTTGCCGCTGTACTCTTTCTCTTATTCTCTCCCCCTTCCTACCCCCCCTCTCTCTCAGTCTCAGTCTGCTCTCTCTCTCCATCCCCTTATTAATAGATTGCACACACAGAGAAGACTCGTCACTGTTGATCATCAAATGCAATGAAGTTTCAAAGCAGCTCTACTTCATCCAGGTATGAAAATTTCTGTTACAATAGTCGTGCTACATGTACTACTAACAAGAATAGTTCGTACATCATGTTTTTATTATGTTGTTTGTTTTAGCAGAGGTTTTACGGCGCTCGCAACTGCATAAGGTCATATGAGCGCCAAGGGGTGGATGTCAACAGAGAAATCTTTACAGACAGGGAATCGGGCTTACTCTCTGCTCACCTCTCTAGCTTTAACAGCACAAAGTCTGTTTTGACTTTCAAGGAACCCCGGAAATAGCCGGTCACAAGAGTGTGACAAATATATAAAAGAAGAAGAGGAAAATGACGATAGTAAGGATTAGGAAAGAAAAAGCAGCAGTTCCCTGTGGTAGTTCAGGCACTTACGAGCATGACATTGTTGGATTATCCCCTTTGCAATTCTACTGTGCATTAGAACGAGAAATGTCCCCCCTTTGGGAATGGCCTAATTTTTTAAAAGACACTTCAGTCAGTGGCACCGCCCGGGAGGTTGATGATCAGTGTATCTATTGAGGACGAAAGACATGGGTGAAAGAACGAGGTAGCACTTACAAGTACCATTCTCATTCAGTGGTAACCTCCACCCTAGAACTACAACCCCTTTAAAAGGTAGAAATCACCACTCCAATGAATGTAAATATGTCTCATCTTATTCCATAAGGTGCTATGAGCAATCAGACCTCTTATCCAGTATCTGTGAGTCTTGGATTTGAACTGCCAGGCTTCAATTTAACATGAAAAATAAATCATTTTTTCTGTCATCTTCACTTCACAAGCACACAAACAACAACTGAAAGAAACACACAAAACTGTTTCAGATAATATAATATGATTCTTTTTATTTGATAAATTTTAATTATTACATTTTGCTGGCATGGAATTAGGAATTTTTATCACAGAGTGATGATAAGTTCCAAGTACAGATTTTGACAAAAAAGTACAACATGAGAGTTAACATGGAAATTTCAAGTATAACAAATCATAAAAAAGGAAGAAAATAATTACATTTACCTTTTGTTTGTAAAACTTTTGGGCAAATTGATGCTGGTCCTTCAAATGAAATTACAAAAAAAAACCTTTAAAAAACCCCAACAGATTACCATCTGTGGTCCACCTTACATGATTTCTGTACCCTACTTACAAGGATGTAAAATTGAGACATGTCTGAAATGATCTTTTCCTGCGACTCCCAAACCCATAATCACGACCAAAGATAGTTCGTACAGATATAAAGACCTAGAAAATAGTAAATTCTTTGGCAAGGACTTCAGCATTTAAAAGTTCGGACGAAGCACCCTTTATTAATAACCGAGCAAACACCATCATCTGTTTAAAAATTCTGAAGATCGGCCAAAGATCAAAACAGACGATGTTAGATGTAGGAGATTTGTGACTCGTCCAACAATTCTATAGCAACACAAAAACATCCTAATTGTTCAACTGTATACATGACATTAGAATCTGTTGGAGGAGTCTGGGGAAAAAACCCAGGAAAGACAACTCTTAAGCCAAAAATAAGCTTTCTTTTTACTATTTAGAAATATGCTTACTTCCCTTTCCATATTCAATAGTTTGTGTCAAGGAACCCGTTTGCACCAGGCAAACAAACAGAAGGCATGGCCTGATCCCACAACAAAAACCAGGTTACTGTGAATAATGAAAAGAAGGTATTCAGACAAACCCTGTTTTCTATCTGCTGCTTAAATTTCATAAGTAAAAATATCCCCCCCCCCACCTCTACCCCCCCCCCCCCCCCCGAACCTGCTGCAGATTATCTTTTAAAAAAACAACCACTAAAAAAAAATAATTAAAAAATAGACCTGTACATTTACCTAAACAAATTGGGTTTTTTAATTGATTAAAGAAAAATAACAATAGAATTCAACAGGAAAAAAAGCACCACTGAACCAAAACATAGGAAGATAAACTGTTTTCTGAGGGTACGGTAGAGAAACTAACCAGTGAAGTGGAAAACCTATGTACATTATGTACAACTGAATGGAATATGTCATGTACACAAAGAGATATCTACATTACTAAGGCATTACTGGCAAAAGTATACAATGTAAACATAGGTCTAATTTACAGGGGGCAAAAAACTTTTAAAATTGGTCAAGTCCAGCTAATGGACAATGATATTCCTTTGGATGTTCAGTTCACTAAAAAGAATACAGATTATAGAACCTCTTTTCACTAAATTTCAAGGTTCACCAAATCTGGAATGATACAAAAATAAGTACTGTATCCACATAGGAAATCTCCTTTCTGAAATTAACATTATTTCAAATTTCATTAAAAATATAAAATGATACAAAAATAAGTACCGCATTGACAAGTTTCCACGAAACAAGGAAGTTTCAAAAGAATAAACTCATTATGGACAGACATTAAAAAGTTATCAAGAACATATTTTGAGGCAAAGTGAAAAAAGAACATTTCATTCATACAAAGAGTCCTGTAAAACAATACATGTACATGCATATGTTACATATCAATGCAAACTTGGAATGTGGAAGACAGGATTTAAACAGGTGCTTGAGAGCTCAGCTTACAAGCATGGAGCTGACATGTGCATCAACACAAGCCAGGCTTCATCACAACTTCGAAGCAAAATTTAAAAGCGTTTATTCCAAATGCTTTCAAACTATAATATTAAAATCCAATTTGCAGTTCGTAAGAAGACAAAAGAGACTTCAACTACTCTCTTCTTACAGAAAAAAAAAGAATAATTGGTACTAGAAGAAGTAATATCCTGGCTATAGTGTCTAAAATCTATTTTCAATTTCTCCTACATCTCCCCACACCTCAGGGATTGTCGACAGCAGGTTCTCTAGCAAAGAATGCAAATGACTCTTCTTACATGACCTATTCTCATAAAACAATTTGGTGACCTTTGCCTTTCAGGTCCACAAAAAGTCATTTTCAAAGGAACTGTCATTCACATATAAGAACTAACAAGTTTCTTCGACTAGGGTAGGGATGAACAAAATAAATGTTGCCTTCGCAGGCAGCCAAGACTTCTCTTTTCTGCCTTTCAGTGGCGAAGGTATATATATATATCATTCATAACTCGCAAAAAGATCAACCATAACCTTTGCTCCTATCTGAGAGGAACTACCCCTGCCACCTACCCAAGGATTTGTAGCCTACTTTGTAGTGAGGGAAAAATAGAGGGAAAAAAATCCCAAGCCAAGCCTGCCCAAACCTTGAATCCAACTAGGCTCTTTGGCACGAGAGACCAGCACGTAATGCCTAAGCTTATATGGCTCTTTATATCCTTCAATTTAAAATGGAAGAAATTACTGCTAGTGCTCATCTACAATATATATATATATATAAATATTCAGACCACATTGAGACAACTACATTGATACAATTACCAACAAACAACAAAAAACACCTATGTGTTTTAATCCTTTGGAGACAATATGTCTCAGTCCTTATGTGCAACACCCCAGTCTCAGGCTCATTGGTACACATTTGGAAATAATCATAAGATGGATTAAAATACAAAATTCAGCCGACACAAAAGCACAGGCAGATGACATAAAGGAAATGCCACAACAGCAAATCGAAATCATCCATTTTGAAAGACACAAAAGCTCCTTTATAAAACATTTTGATTGTGCATCGTTGCATAGTACCATGATTCAAGACTGTTGCATAGAGATAAGTAGTTTTGAGAGAGAGTATGCCGCACTCAAACTTCACAACATACAAAAAAAAAAAAAGATAATAACCTTATTGTATATTATTACTCCACCACTTCTACACCTTTATCAAAAGAAACATACAGCTCTGAATAAAGCATAAACATGAAAACCACAACAGTACGCTTAACTGTTTAAATGATGCACAACACTGAAATACATCAGAGATCACAGATTGGTCTGTTAACGAAAGTTTAGGATTATTTTCATATCTTTTAAGATTTGAAATTTTGCATCGTAATATCAGTGTACTAGAATTCATTGAACATAACAATACATATATGTAGTCCTGTTCCTCAAAGGACATTCGGTTCTTTTTCCAGCAGTAGTTTCAGAAGACGATGATTGGTGCAGAAAACAGTGTCATGTTTCTATAAAAACTCCAAAAAGGAGACGCTGCAAAAACAGCTAAGTTTTTCTTTAAGAACAGATCAGGATAACAGTAATACGGAAAAGAAAAACAGGGAGCTTTTTAGTTTCAGTAATTTTATGGCACTTGCAACACAATAAGGTCATATATGTGCCGAAGATTAAAGGTGTTGCAAGAGGTTACAAATACAAAAAAGAAAGAGGAGAGAAAAGGAAGATAAATGTTTGACAGGCAAGAAGGAGCAAACTCACTAGAACAACCACCAACCGCCCACAAACGGGGAGCATACAACACCAGAGAACCTAACAATAACCCAAAGTCTACAAGGCAAAAGTTTCTAGAAATCAAACAATATCTCTAATAATATTCTTAATGAATCATAAATTACTGGAACAAAACACTCGAGTTAGCCACTATCAACTACACAAAAAACATCAGGGAAAAAAAACACGGCTTTGCTACATAAAGACTAGATTGTATGATAGGGGAGCACCATCAGAAGACAAAGCTGTGAAAAAGTGAACTGTATCTCATCACTGGAACGTGTACCAATTTGCCACACTTTCAAGGGGTACAGTATTGTCATTGTTGGTACTGTCTATCCAGCAGCCTATAAGCAGTTGCCTTTCATACAAATGCTGTGTTGAAATGTACTGTGTTGAAATCAGTTCTAATTTATACATACACTGAGACTAATTACAAATAACATGTAAGAATTATTTTTTTCATAAAGGAGAAAACAACTAGATAATATGAGGCTAACCTTAAAACTTTGAAATCTTTTACCGTGGAACACAAAAGCAAACTTGTTTCAAGAAACAAGATGGTAATGAAACAATTCAGGCTGGACTCTAAGGCATGATGCAGGCCCTCAAGTCATATGATATGATGAGCAATAAGCGCATAATGAATCTACAGTCTTGGTGCCCTTCTTTTTAAGGGCCACAGCAGGGAGCACTAAAGGAATGAAGTAAACTGCAATGTAGAGAACCCCAGAAGTCCCACTGGTCCATTATAACATTTCAAATTAAATACAAATTGTGTATTCATCAATCAGATCAGATCAATCAATATGAATTATACAATAATGGGTAGTACCAAAGTCACTTTCAGCATTACAAAGGCAAAAAAATGAAAGGAAACAACTAAATGACGTTCTCCCTAATTAGAACAGAATTTATAATACCCAAATGAAATGTGAAAGGAAAATGTCTGAACTATCATTAGAGTAAACACACACTGAGTCATTTTCTCCCCATCTATTAAACCAAAAGGCACTGTTTCAGCTAACAATGGTCAGAGTTGAGTATAAACCGATTGTCACAATAAGCAAGATCTAAGGCACAAAGGTGAAGAGGAAGAATGACCAGCACTAGGTAGATTGCCACAACCGTTCAAAGGGAATGATGGTAAGATCAACAGACATGGTCCTTCCAGCTGCCTCCTTCAAGACACAATAAAAATATAAATGATAGACACAATACTCTGCCAATCACTGCTGCTCCTTGTAGAAGTCAAAGACAATAAATGAACAAAAGAACTTGTCTGTTCAAAATGTCTTTTCACTATTTCATGTACACAGACAAACATTTATCCCACACTCATCCGCACACACAAACATATATACCCAGTCTCACACACACTCATACACTCACACCTGTACATGCAGTACACAGGCAAACACACATACAGACATACAAACACACACACTCATGCATATACATATAACTGTTTGTAAATATTCAACAGTAAAAGTATCATGCACATTTGAGAAGACAGATGCAGTTGTACACGTTTCCATTCTGATGAGACACAAAAGCCTTCACGAAAAACATGGTAAGTACCTGGTGCTAAGGCTACACCATAGAAACGTGTCAATAAATCACAAGTCATATTGCTTTTAAAACAAACCGTCACCCTGTGTAGAAAGCTACCAAAAGTATAATATATTACATTTGCACCAATATTGACCTCATAGAAAAAGTGACTATTCAAGAAAGGTCAATGGTACCCCTATCAAAGAGTAAGAAGGAACCAATTGTACAACAAATTTCCGGAACCTAAAAAACAAATCAGCGCTTTTCTGTAAACATTTCATTAAAAAAATTTTGTGAATTATATAAAAATGGCAGTAGAAACATAAATATCATAAGAATTTACTGCGCTGACTACAGCTAAGTCCTGCAAAGGGCTATGCACTTTTGGTGGAAGTCACAACACATGTAAACGTGCACTTTACTTTTTCAAACCAAATCATTAGGGTACATACTGACAAGACACATACACACACAAAAAAGAATTTACTTTTTATTCCTGGGCATGAAGTATAGACGCGGGATCTGTCCCTTGGAGACATTTGACCTGTTCCTTTTGACTTTAGCTGCATCACTGAATGTGAACAAAATGGGTCCATGTTGAATCTTGCTCTGTCCACTAGACCCCATATGCGAGGAGGGTCCTTTGATGTAAATCTCCAATGTATATGGCAAGCCTTTGTCAACTTTGACTGGACGTTCGAACATCACGGGCAAGATGATACCAGCACCTTTGATGTTTATCGTTTCCATGACAACATCTTTCTTCTTCCGGGAGAGTATTGTGTCTATCTGATACTTGCCTTCTGCTTCCTTTTTAGGGCCGTAGATACTGAAGCCGAACAAGTAAATGTTCTGATCTACCGTGAAGGAAAATGCGTCAGCCATCATAGCATCATTCTGGTCGGAACCGTGGACCTCCTGCAGTCTTGTGACCTGAAGATGAAAAGTCATGCAAGTGAGAAGGGTAACGAGAGGAGATGCACATTTACTCTACAAGGCTGGAGTCACTTAATGGAATATTTTTTAAAAGTTAAAAAGAAGAAAAGGTTAACTCACTCAGTCCCACCACCTAGAGTTAACTACTATGTTTAGTTTTAGTAAGAGATTTACAACACTTGCAACACAAATACGTCATATTAGGGCTAAAGATTAGAGGTGTTACTAGAGAGTAACTTACAAGTAAAAAAGGAGGCCAGATAAGGAGGATAGATGTTTGATAGGAGAGAAGGAGCAAACCACACCAAAGCACCTGCCAACCACCCACAACTGCAATGTAACTCGATCCAGACATGCCGGATGCCAACCTTCAGTCAGTTTTGCGAATGATCAAAATGAGCATGCTGGACAACTTAGAGATATCAAAACAGGTGTATGAAGTTCGGCCTCTGTCATATTGTTTTTGTTCTTTTTTTTACCATTGTACGGCTTTTGGTTCTTGCCAGATAAATATGATTTTAAGATTTATATGAACTAAAACCAGGTACTGGTTGCCTTAATCTGACTTGCACCTTTCATATTTCAAAATTTCTGACAAATTCTGTTCTTGGGCTAAATGTAGAATAAGAAAAATGTTGAAAGCTTGTCAACGTCATTCACCAATACACACCTGCTCAAGATCTGGCCACATGTTACAACTGGGAAGACGCGAGTACGTGTGCACAGATGACCTTGACCTCATGCTTGAGGTCGACGACACTGTGGACATGCCATCAGTCTCATCCACTCCATTGCTTACAGGTTCTGGGGTAGGTGGCGTGACTGGCTCTTCCGGTTCTTCAAAGATGGAGCGTGTGGTGACACTGTCCATCACGTACCTGAGAGGAAAAAGATATCCGATCGTAATGAATTAGTAAATTAATCAGCCATAGAGTAGCCCATGAGGAGGCATGAGGGAACTGATCGAAGAACTACAGCCTGAACACCTTGATGAGTTTCACTACAGAACCTTTTACTACCTGTATCTCATTCTTACATCAACAGAGTTTTTGATTATATCAAGACCATTGGTCTTTACTCCAAAATGTAAATAGCGTTACTTTAAACGTGTTTATTGCTGCTTTTAAAACTGAATTTTTTCTGTGTATTTTCTTAATACTTCAACCATTCTGACTTGCAAAATACAACCAAGCTATGCAGTGAACTAACATGAAAACAACCAGCTTGTGTCAAGCACACACATAAGACCTTATGCAGTAGCGAACACCATAAAACTTTTACTAAACATTCTCAGTCCGACATAAAAGACAGAAATATGGTTTTTGTCTCCCCTTCCCAATCCCAATCTGTGATATACAGAGACAGTCATCATTGTCAATCTCATTCAGGACCAGGGTTTAGCCATTGTGATCTACACTTTCCACTGGTCCCTATCTTGAGCTAACCTCTTGACATTGTTCCACATCTTTTCACTTTTCTGGATATCATTCCCTGTGACTCTTCTCCTGGTTCCACGTGAAACAGTGACAATAGCGAAAAGAGAATCAAAGTTCAACACTTCAGACACATCACAAAAGAGAAAAATTACAGAACCCCCCCACCCTTCCCCCCTGATGAGTAACTTCAGTGGTTTGCAACTATCCAATTGGAATGACACAGGGCTGACACACATTAACAGACTTAATTGTATTACATATTTCAGCCTTCAATAGTAAACAAAGGCAGTAAAGAAGATCATTCCTTTTCAGACACGTTCTCATGAACTCCAGAACAACACGCTCTTTGAGAACAGTCTTTGTTCAAAACTGGTTCTTTAAAGAACAAAAATCACAGGACAGGATGAGTCCAAAAGAGGGGAGGGAAAAAAACAAAGTTTGCAGCCCTACTCTGCGACTCTATAGATCAAGTAGCAGTACACAGCAAGCTCAGCAATGAAAAGAAAGAAACAATCAATTTTCTTCATGACTCACCTGTGACTGGCACTGTCGTCCCTGTAGACGTAGAGACAGTCCTGCAGTGAGTCCATCACATTCTCTATGCTGACCTCTCTCTTCAGCTCTTCGCAGTGGTTCTTGGCCCAGCTATCAGTGACCTCTTTCTTGGTCTTCTCATCAACGTCAAGCCCAGGCAGTGTCAGCAGCTATAAGAAAAGGCAAGAACAACATCAGACACCATTATCATTTAGAGTACAGAATGCTTTTTCAATTTCACATTGTACTATCATCAACTCAGAAGCTTTTCATTTTCTATATTGAATTTTTGCAGCGATTCAGTATTATAATATTTGAGACATTATATCTTCCTTTAAAAACAAGAGCACTTGGACCTCTAAAGAAGACCATGCAAGATAAAATGTCCATAAAAGGGGTTAGACACACTCAAAGATAATACACAAAAATGCTCAACCACTTTTTATGTTACTATAGTCCATAGGAATAGTTGGTACATTTGCTTAAGTGAAAACTTTCAGGAAATTTCGCTTTCATTTGAATAGGTTTCATGATTTTTTTTTCAACATTGGAATGACGTACAGTACAAATTAAAATTTTATCTTGTCAAATTCAACTCAAAAATTTCTGTCCAGCATACATCACCAGTATAAGACCATACTGATGTGAAAGAGAATTTCATCTATGAACTTCTATTCACCTCATTCAGAAGCTCTCTGCTAAGCTGGCCCATTCCAACTGTCTTGAACACATCCTCTGCATTTTTCCTGATGTAGGCAATAATTTCTTTCTCTTCCTCAGGGTAACCATAGTTACGAACCTCCATCAGTAGGTAGCAGGCATTTTCAATCTGAAAGATAACAAAATAACAGATAAAAAGGCTGCTGCTTCTCAAAATTATCTGATGTTTTCTCACAGATGAAACGTAACTTTCTTTTTTTTAAATTTTACTATTTGCCAGACAATGAGTATCCATTATCATATATATTCAAGCAGAAAGGAATATTTGGGTAACAGATAGCTAAACATATGTGGCACAACGCAATGGAATCAGGCTCTCGTCAATTTTTGGGCATATGGAGTTGATGGTATCATATTAAGGCCTGTCCATTTCCCTTGTTTTGGGTGAAAATATTATCCATCTATGTTGAATAGAAGTAGAGATATGTGTGATTGAAAGAGGTGAGGATCACCTGGTTTCAGAGGTAAAATTAGCGAGAAAATGGCCGGCAAAGTTGAGTTATTTCTTTAGCTTGAGAGTCTGTGAAAACTGAAAATTTACATTTCTTCTGCCTTTAATCAATGTTTTTCAGAAAAACAAACAAACAGAAATGTGCTCTTTAATGGGCATGAAAGGTGTTGAACAAAAACCAAAAATTCAGTCAAAATTCCCAAACCTGTGGGGAAAATGCCAATTTCTCGACTTTCATTATTTTGACGAGCACCTGATTTCACCACGCTGTCTCACATATAAGTACAAGCTTCAGACTTCATTATTGACACTGGTATTGAGGAAAGCAAGACTGAAAATGTATTTGATGTAAAAAATACTTTAAGCACTTAATCGAAACTCCACAGCACCTATTCCATAGTTCTTCCAAATTTTGCTTAGAAGTTCAGGGAAAAGTTTTCTTCTTAACACATCTTACTTCGACGGAAGCCATGTCACGCAACCAACAAAGCAATGTATAATTCATTCTATTGGCTATACCTGCGTTCATAGAAGTAAACATGTACATATTTGAAAACACATTTGCTATTTAAGTTTTGTATCTTAAAAACGAATAACTATAAACCATACTTAAGATTATTAAGTTAATGTATGTACTAAAGTCATCTTGCATGGTCAATAGTTATAGAACTCAATGTATGATAGCCATTCAGCATACTTTAAAGAATGTTTCCTCATGAGATCCAAAAAGAGTGAAACTTAGATCAGGTAAAAATAGCTCAATTCAGTCTTGCATTTCCACACCTCTTTTCCAAATACAGTTACCAAAATATAACTTATCAGTGTCAACACTAAATGTAAAGCTTCAGTTTCCAACTTGCAAAATTTCTAGTCTTTTCAATCAGTGCAAGGTAAAGAAAGGCACAGCTACAATAACATTGGCTTGCATCTTCAAAAGAGCAGTCCAAAACTGTAGTAAATCTTTCACACAAATCTTCCTTAATACACTGCCTCCAGCTCTGAATTCCTAGTAATGTGTGAGCAAGTGATATGAACCCCGCTGCTGGGAAGCAAAGTTTTATCAAGACTCACTTCAAGATTAGCTTGCAGGAATTTCTTGCAGGCTCTCTTCAGGTCAATCAGATCATAGTGGTCAGCAGCATACATAATGCCCACGACATTCATGACTTGAAGTTTTTGTTCCTCACAATAAATATGCCTGTCAAAAAGAGAGAGAGAAAATGGATGAAATTTTGAAAAACCCTCTGATGAGACAACAACTGACAAAACACCTACAGTCTCTTACATGTTCCATGCCATAATTTTTCTATGCTTTCATCAAATATTGGCCATCCACGGACATTATTCTTAAAGCAGAGTAATATTTTTTTGTTTTGTGTGGTTAAAGTATTTCACTTCCCTTGCTACTGCATAAGGTTGTATGAGTGCGCGGGACATATTTATTAAGCATTTTCAGTTAGGTAGGAATTAATTTTTAATTTTGCCCAGGTGGTGGCTGAAGCCTACTCTAATCGATTTTGGACCAAACCAAGGGATCTTAACATGCGCAACTTGCACATGGGACCTCCGAGATTTTTCACCCTTATCCAAGAAGGCCAGGTGTTAGATCTTACCTACTCTAAGTGTAATATTTTCAAGAAAGAAACTATGCTATGCTGTATTTGTTTATGTCTTATGTAAACTAAATTTATCCTTTTTTTTTTAGATCCTAGTCCACTTCTCACATTTAAGCATCAGACTTCAGGACAAGGACAACAGTGGCTATAAAAAAGGCGAGTCTGTAAAGTAGACAAAAAGGCAACCCTCATTCTCAGATGAGGAGAATTTGTGTAAAGTGCCTTTCCCAAGGGCATCACGCCAAACCCCTGACGAGATTTGAACCCATTACATTTCAGTTATGAGTCTGACAACCTAAACACTACATCACCAGCCAGACAATTATCATCGCATACCCTGACTTTTATTTTTAAAAACCAACTAATCAAGTGCGTAAAAAAGTAGAAAAACCTCCCCCACTTACCTCAGCATTTCCCAAAAGTGGTCACCTGAAATATCAGGCACTTCAAACTCTGTCTTGATCCCCTCGGGTCCAGCAAACATGTGTCTGAACACGTCACTGCGGCTGGACAACACATATTTGTGCGCTCCCTGTCTTTCTTTCTTCTCTCCAACGACAAACATCACATCACATGACATCTGACTGACAAGCATGTGCCGATTCCTTTCCAGAACAGACTGCAAGAGAAATGATCAAGCTGAAAAATCTCGCAACGAACTATGGAATATTAGCTAATTTTTACAAGAGTCAAGGTAGGAACATTTTATTTATAAACATTGGGCCCTTAGTACTGAAGAAACAACAACAGAAAAAGAGAAAACAGTAAAAAGGGCACATGTATAAGAAAGAAATACCATCTACCAGCCATACTCTTAAACCAGCTGCTTCTTTTTGCTTTGATTGGACTATCAGACACTCCTAATCTAGAACAGAAGGTAATGTTTAGTCATTTGAAAGTCAACAAATCTATGGACAAAAAACTTCCGCCCAAAAGGGGTGTATCTGCATTTAACATAGCAAATTATGGAAAGCCAAGCTGGGGATAAGCAAATGAAGGTATAAGAGGAAATAAATCCATTTTCTTCTCATCTTCTCTGTTATTCCAGTTATTCGCTTTCTTTAGCACCATTTCAGGATCATCCTTATCTGACAGTAATTTTCTCTCCATTTCAATAAATCCCAAATAACCAACCTGCTGTAAAAATAATAATTCAAAATATTAGCATGATCACAAGTTTGACTACTCTTTTCAATACATGGAGAACTCCAATACAAGCAACAAAATGGACAAGAAAGGGAGGGCAAGCTGAAAAACTCATAGTAATTTGAACACATTAGACATTACATGGATATCTTTTGCCCCATAAAAGATACTAATATACACAAAATACAAATATAACAATCCCATAGAAGGGAAGAGGAGAGTGAAAGGAAGATATTACTGAGAAAGCAACAAAAATCCTCCATCTTTCAGAAAACATTCCAATACTTCATTCCCCTGCGTATTTTACCAGAGTCTTAGTTTAGTTTAGTAAAGAGTTTTACGGCACTTGCAACACAATAAGGTCATATAAGTGCCGAAGATTAGAGGTATTACAAGAGAGTAACAACAAACGTAAAAAAGAAGAAGGAGAGATTTAAAGGACGGTAGATGCTTAAGAGGAAAGAAGGAGCAAACCGCCCCAGAGCACCCGCCAACCACCCACTTACCATAGTCTTCACAAAACACCTTTCAAAACTAACTGAATTTGCTCGTAGAACTTTTGAAATAAGTGTGTTGCTTTCTTTTTCTTAATTCTTTTAAAAATAGTCACCTTTGGATCTTTCCAGTCAACTACTCCACTGTCATCAGAGTTATCAGAGTTGTTGGAGGCCTTGTCTGCCAACGTTGCTTCTTCCAGCCCCGGGTAAACCGGTGGTGCTGCCCGCTCTGCCATGGTACCGGGAGATGGTGGCGACGGAATTTTGGCGGGTTGAAGGGAACACAATTACACAAAAAAATCTAATATCTAGAAGATTCAGGAACGCTGTGGTAGATGCTTCTGCTTCAATCTGTTTTCTCAGGATTGATGCTGCTAGTTTCAATTCTGAAAGGGAAAAGATGACACAAAATGAGACCAAGTATTGTATGGGTAAGTTTCACTTTTCAAGGCCTAAACTATCAATGAAAAGTGGCTCTACAGGTGAAACTAACAAGTCCATGAATAAGCAATGCTTCCCTCTACTTACTGTACATTGCTCAAGAAAAAAACTTTTTTTTTTCAGTATGCTCACATATATCCATAATTAGACAAGCAGGCATACAAGTATATATAAAGCAGCATTTTGCGAGTGCATGTGAGGGTGGTTGTACATATGTGTGTGTGTGTGTGTGTGTGTGTGTATGTGAGTGGATGCATTAAAAGTTAGTCTCATCCTTTTGACATGTTCAGGTTCTTTCTTTTTTCTTCTCTCTCAAACGTCTGTTTTAGCCAATTGTACTGTCTCCAATGTCACAGTCTCTCATATTTCCATTGTGAGTACATTTCTCACATACCGATAGAGTGGAGCGACATCTTGACATGAACGATAATCTCATTACAAAATGAGGGTCTTATTACACTGATACTATCACAGATTTAAAAGTACACACAGTGCTTATCGAGGCACAGGCTTTGCACGACAAGAAAACCAAATCCATTGGGCAAGAAAGACATATTATATCTAGTACAGCAAGAAATCGCAAACCATCAAAATTTACCTCATAGAGTAGAACTACAACGAATACATTCCATTTAAAAGATCCACATAAAGCTCCTTTTACTTTACTGCTGAGCATGACTTAAATTTAAAAGCCCTTACACATTAAACGTTGGTTGATTTATTCAAATTCAGCCAAGCATGGCACTCGTGCCCAACAAACTGGGACAGAAGTAAAGGCATGGTTTTCTAAACCCTTAAAAAAAATTCCAATTCTATTGCTTCTTTCAACAAATATTACACCTATAGTGAATCAGTGACGTCACGCTGTGTAAAACGAGAGAGTTCTTTTGGGTCTGCAGGGCTGAGACAAGGCATTGAACATACATGTGAATTATGAATACCGTAAATGTTCCATATATTGCTTTGCGTTGAGTTCCCTTCTGGAAAAGGAATGGGTCATTTCGAAACCTGAAAAAAGATATCCCGATTCCCTTTCCTCACTAGGACAACATGCTCAGAGACACTGAAAACTATTGCAGTTAGCAGGAGAAATATTTGGATCCCACAACAACATAATAAAATTTTTATAACATGACAAATGTCCAAAAAGTCCCACTGTCTAAGGTAACTACCTTTGTCCTCGACAATGGGTGGCCGTCTTGGACTATACCAACTGTATTACATATTATAGTAGGCACCAAAAGATGAAGTAATGAAGACAAATATACATAATACAGAAAGTGTACTAAATGACTGTGTCCAGCACCTAGTCTGGTTTAGTCGGAGTACACAGAAGCTCATAGACGTGATAATTCTAGTTAGTACATGTACAAAGCTGAAAAAGCAGATGGACTAATCACAGACACAAAAGAGGAAGAGTAACAGTGTAAGGCCAACTGGTCTACTTGCAGCGTCCTCCAACTACCCACCAACCCAATCAGAGTTTTCTAGACATGATTCAAGTTTAGTTTTAGTACTTGCAACACAGTAATGTCATATAAATGCCGAAGATCAGAGAGTAACAAACACAAAAAAGAAGCAGGAGTGATAATGACGATGGATGTTTGGAAAGAAGGAGCAGACCCCACCAGAGCACCCGTCAACCACCCACACATGATTCAAAACGTCTAAAAAAAAAAAAAACACACAAAAAAAACCTCTGCGACACATTGAAATATAGTGCATATTACTTGTGCTTATGATAGAGTAGTAAGGATATACATTACAAGACATAAGGAGTGACGATACACAATTCAGCGAACAACCTAACAGTGAACTCAAAATAGATAAACTCGAGGGGGGGGGGGTCCTTTTTCTCAGAAAAGACATGATCGACACAACAACGTGATCTGTTTTCGTGTCTAAGTATAAAAAGGAAGGAAGAAAAAAAAAAGAAAAAGAAAAAATTAACAGACACAAAAGAGGAACACAGCGGTCAACAACCTGACGTCCTAATCTGCCCGAAGTCCATCCTTTCAAAGCTGATCAAGCTCAACAAAATGTCAGCTGACAGAAAGATAGTAAAAACAGTATTCAATGCGACAGGTTCTTTGTGTCCAAAATTTGCATTAAAGACAGAACTTAAGAAAAGAACCGGTCTTTACTGAATAAAGAAAGCGGAAGAGAGAAAAGTTTGGAGGATGAGGAGGAAAGAGAGAAGGAGAGAATGCGAGAAAGAAGGAGAGAATGCGAGAGAGAGAGAGAGAGAGAGAGA